ATGGAGCCAGCATCTCCTCAAGTCAAGAGGACATGCCGCTCGTCAGCGAGCTGTCATCAGTCATCGAAGATGCAGCTTCTCTGAACGAGTCGGTGACGAGCGAGCCGATCAAGCTGATCCTAGACAAGGCCGTTGGCAACCTCCACGACACGTTATACTCTCCGGAGAGCTTGGAGTTTATGTCGCTGGCAGACTGCGTGAAGATGCCAGACGAGCAGGGAGTTGGGCGCATCGTTCTCAAGGAGAAGCTGGGGAAGTGGCTCCAGAGCAAGTGCTGGACTCGCGTGCAAGGAGAGAGCAAGAAGGCAAGGAGGGGCAGCGCGTTCTCGCCACGGGCAACGGCAGCTGCTGAGCTTGAGCAGGAGGCGGAGAGCGCCGACATAGAGCGTCGATCTCTTAGCTTCAAGTTCATAGCACTGAGTAAATTCGCAGAGATGCATGTGATGGCGTGCTAGAGGAAGGTGGACAAGAAGGGGGGGTTGCAAGTGAAAACGAGGAAGGCAAGGGGGCGGGAGAGAGAGGGGAATTGTACGAAAGACGACGAGCAGTAGGAGAGAGAGAAAGATCGGGAGTGTGCACGGAGGACAAGAGCAAGCAGGGTCAGGAGAGGAGAGAAGGAGGAGTGGCAGCTGGGATGAGGCAGGGAGGCAGGGAGGCAGGAGGATGAGGGAGGGATGCAGGGAGGATGAGGGAGAGGACGGGGATGAGAGATAAAATGTCACTGACACTCGATCAGTGCACAGTGAAAGGAGGAAGAGAAGTGAGAGACCTCGACGCCTTCGAGCTTGCGCAGGTAGCGAGTGAATCTGTTGAGCCGCTGGTCCACAGAGGCGTCGTCGTTGTCTGCGCCGTCTTCATCTTCACCACTACCACCACCATCGTCATCATCATCTCCTCCTGCTCCTGCTCCTGCTCCTCCTGCTATTACAGCTACTACTACTCTTCCTCCTCCTCTTCTCCCCTCTCTCCCCCCGCCCTCCCCCGCCCCCTCCTCCATCATATTGATCTCGTTCTTTGTTACCTCGATCACTCCTGCCATCATCACCTTCATCAGCAGCTTCTTCACCATCCCCCTCGCCTGCCTCTTGTCTCCCTGCTCCCTTCAGTTGCTCTGTCAGGCGTGCGAGGCGTTGGGAGCGGGGGAGATCTTGTTAAACTGCATCGACAAAGATGGGCAGGTGAGAAGTCTCCTGTTGCTCTGGACTCTCCCCTTCATCTCCTCTTCTTCCTCCTTCATCTCGCTCTCGTTCCACCTCTATATGTCTCCTCCAACACCACCTCCCTCTCCTCCTCCTCCTCCTCCTCCTCCTCCTCCTCCTCCTCCTCCTCCTCCTCCTCCTCCTCCTCCTCCTCATTCGTAATTTTGCAGAACAATGGCTTCGACATCGCGCTTATCAGGCAGATGAAAGCTTCTGTGTCCATACCCGTCATCGCAAGCTCCGGAGCCGGCAAACCACAGGTCCTCTCCTTCACTCTCCTCTCACGCTCCCTCGGTTTCTTCTATCCTCCCCACTCCCACTCCCTCCTTCCTCTTCTCCACCTTGTTTTCCGTCCAATTCTTGTCCTTTTCCTTCCTCTCTGCTCCTTCCTCCGTGTGCCTACTCCACCCCTTCCGCTCTCTCCTGCAGTCCTGCCTCTAAGATACACCCGCCCCCTCCTCATCCGCAACTAGTCGTTCCCTCTAGCATCCTGACATGCAAGCAGCACTTCATCGACGTCTTTCAGGCCACCAACGCCGATGCCGGTCTTGCTGCTGGCATCTTCCACAGGAGAGAGGTCGGCATCGACGAGGTCCTCTCTTCCCCGAGCATGCCGGCTGCTAACGAGCAGGACAGGTCAAGGCTGCTGTCTCCTCGAGCGGGATCCCATGCCGAACATGAAGGAGTGTGGGAGATCGCATTATCATCCTTTGATACAGGAGAACAAATTCTTTTCGAGTTTCTCACTGATCTTATTAAACCATCAAACAGTAGTGGAAGGAAGGACAGAAGGGAGGAAGGGAAAAGAGAGGGGGGAAGGGGGAGGGGGTAGAATTTAGGATATAAGGTGTTAAAGGTCACAGCGAGAAACTCATCATCTCCGTCCTGGATCGAATAAAGGAGCTAGAGGTACAGGTGGCACACGATAGACGTACAATCATAATGGTTTGCATCGGGATCCTGGAATCCCGTTACTCCTCAACGACCTTAGCCCCTCCTTGCTTCGCCCGCTCATCCATGGTGTTGGAGGAGGAAACGGGCTCGAGCTGGGAAGCAGCCGATGTCAGCTCTTCCTCCACGCAGCATCCCTTGACATCGTAGCACAGAGGGCCGATCATCGACGCCTTGATAGTTGATGGAGCAACGCGGGTGCAGATCTCGAGGTCGGCAAGGGCAGCGAACATGGCGGAAGGATGGGAAGGATCCAGAGAACTAAATGAACCTCTTGAACAGTGAAGGATCCAGTTCACGTTAAAGAGAAGCTGCTGCACAGCAACGGATGCCCACGAGAGTAGGCAGGCGGTGTTGCACAGTTGGCAGGAAGAAGGAAGACGAATGTACTTAGATATCCAAGGGAGACGAGGAGGAGGAAGGTGGAGGTGGAAGGAGAAGAAGCAACAGGGAAGAAGGAAGACTCGTGTGTGCTGTCCTTCTTGCTGGGTAGCGAAGGGGGAGAGTAGCAAGGAGGAGATGAGAAGGTGCAAATTGCGCTCTCAACTACGAGAGGAGCGAGGAGGGGTGGGGTAGAGGTCGAAGAGGAGGGTAACTTTCCACGGGGGGGTCCTGATCGGAATTGGGGTAATTGATGAGGGGGAAACAGGGGTACTTTTAGGTCAAAGGGTAGGTGGGAACTTGAAAGTACCCCTTATGGTGGTGTTTACTTCCACCGGTGAGGGTATTTTTAAAAGTTAACCAGAAGACATCGGAAGGGTAGGGGTAGACTCCAATCAGTCAGGGTAGGGGTTGGATAACGTCCAAAAACTGGGTAGTAAATGGGATTTGGAGGGGTGATGTATGGGTGGTTATGGTGTTGAATTGGGGGGTTGCCCTAGAAGGGTGGGGTGGAGGGAGATGGGGGGGTGGTGTGTTTTAAAAAGGAATCTCTTTGGCCTGGGGAGTCATCAAGATAACCCCTCGAGCTGAGGAGGCGAAACCGAAATGTCTGAGGGGGTGGGTAGGGGTGATTGAATGATGGGATCGGGTCCCTAGCATGAAGGGGTGTGTATTGGGAATTGAGGGGTGGTATCGTTAAGTTTGCAGGGTTCGCAACGGAACCTACCCACACCCCACCGGGATTTTAAACTGCAATTGATCAGCCAGGGGTACTTCTCTAGTCCATGTGGTGGGTAGTATGATGAGCAACAGGGGTGGATAGAGTGGGGGTGGGGTGGGGTTTATGTCGCGAGCCGCCGGGAGGAGCCTTCAGTTCGGAGCTGATCGGACTCTCACCCGGCACTGCCGCAGAGAGCGGCGCCCGGGCCGGCGACTGACGGTGCCAACAACGCGGGCCGGGCCGCCGGCGGCCCCTCACGAGTCACGAGTCAAGCTAAGCGGCCCCGGAGGCCAGTGCCGGCCTGCCTGGCCCACGTCCTGCGGCCGGGCGGCCGGCTGACAAACCGTCTCGCCGGAGCGCCGCAGTGCGGCGGCCCGGACTGCGGCCGGCACCGCGCCGGTCAGTGAGGCCGCCGCGGCCCAAGCCGCTGACTCAGTGAGCGGCCGTCGGACGACGGCTGAGCGGCACGGCGGCCCGGCCCGTCACGGTACCCCGGCGACCGTCCGAGCCGACCGTCGGCCGCGCAGAGAACTCAGTTATAATCTCTTTACTCAAAGTTAAGTTAAAAATCAGTATATAATATAATCCATGATGCTGCTGCTACTGGATTATTAAAAATAGGAATGTATATATGCTTGATACATACTTATTGTTGTACAAATCTAAAACATTCGGTATGAAAACTACCAATATAAGATATATAATTATTTGTTTTGTAGCGTGTAGTATTGGAATACGATACATTATATCACTGTTGTATTGATGTGATTAGGGGTAGAAACAAACTTTTGTATCATGGTACATAGTATTGTCTGTACAAAACTATATTATAACAAACAATCTGGTACAATAAAAATGAACACTTATAAAGAAATATTTTTAAAGGGGTCATAAGCGCTGAAGCGACCCAAGAGGTGCAGTGGGTTTCACACCATGGATGGGGTGGGTGCCCTGATGGAGGGGTATATGATACATGGGGTAGGGTCCAATCAGTCCGAAGCACGGGTCCACGAAGTGATGGGTGGTCCGTTTTTCTAATACACCCAGTCATTTGCCTTCAACATCGTTGAATTTAGACGGGTACTTACATCCCCTGAAGAAAGGGAATGGGCATGTGGAACTGGGTGGGTAGCTCTGGGTTCCTAGGTGGGGTGCGTTCTAATTAAGGGGGTAGTAGGGTAAGAGGTGTATTGCCAACATGGCGATGAAGGCGGCGGTAGCGATGGTGATGGCGGCGGCTGGTGCTGAAGCAGCAGGTGATTGTCAATGTTGATAAGAAACTTTGTACACCAGGATCATGAACTCTCAGAGTGACCTAGATGAAGAAGAGTAGGTACTGAAAGTTACAGAGCATGTGGGATCGATCGAGCCCTCGGGCGAAGGGTGGGAAAGGAAGTATCGGAGAAGCGAGTGAGTGAGTGAGGAGGGCAACATTAGGATCAACGGAAACATCTTCTACACGCAAGGAGCTGGATTAAGTTTACTGCAACCCAGCCTTCTTTCGAATATGGTACAAGAAGGAATGGGTGTAAGCGGTGCAGGGATAGGATTTTTTCGTTAGTCTGCTGCGCTCCATGTTTGTTTTTGGCGATATCCCTTGAGGAGTGATTTCGTTGTCAACCTCAGGGTTCTACTCTTCTCCTGTCATGCAGCTCCGTGGAGGAGGAGATCGCAGGTTCCTGATTGCCGGGAACTGGAAGATGAACCCGGAAACCATGGATGAAGCCAAGGCCCTTGCGTCCTCTGTGAGAGCGTACGGATGCTCCCCATCCCTGTGGTTCTCATGGAGTTGATAGGTGGTGGAGAGCGCCAAGTCTGTGAAGAAGGGCGTCGACATCTGCATCTGCTGCCCCCATCCGTTCCTCGCCACCTGCGCACAAATCTGCAAGGATAGCGAGGTTAAGATCGGCGCCCAGGACATCTTCACCGAGGAGAAGTAAGGCATCTCACTTCCGTGGTCGCTGGTGTGCTCAGCCGATGGCAGGGGAGCCTTCACTGGCGGCGTTTCGATCAAGCAGGTTGAGTCCATCGGTTGCAAGTACGTCTTGATCGGACACAGCGAGAGGCGACACGGCAACATCGCCTCAGAGTCCAACGCCATGATCAACAAGAAGGTGAAGATGACCATCGACTCTGGTCTCGTCGCCTGCCTGTGCATCGGAGAGACCAAGGCAGAGTTCGAGGCCAAGAAGAACAAAGAAGTTTGCGCCAAGCAGCTTGCCGAGGGTCTGGCCGGAGTTACCAAGGAGCAGCTTGCCAATGTTGTGCTGGCCTATGAGCCTGTGTGGGCCATCGGAACAGGCTACACTGCAAGCCCTGAGATCGCTCAGGACGTGCACAACTACGTCCGTCAATGGCTTGAGCAGAACTATGACAAGGCGACCGCTGAATCTGTTCGTATCCTTTATGGTGGAAGTGTGACCCCCGACAATGTCGACCAGCTCATGGCATGCCCCGGTGAGTTAGGGTTCAGGGAGTGGGTACGTGGCTGACGGTTTTGTGCAGATATCGACGGAGCTCTCGTTGGCGGAGCTTCTCTTGTGGGCGAGAAGTTTGCTCGTATCATGAATTTCAAGTAATCTGTTTGGTTCCAATACACAAAAGGCACAGCAACACAGGTCACAAGAGCTATCTCTGCAGAGCCGTAAGGAGGTTTCACTTCTTTACCCATACAACTTCTTCGCCGGATATTTATACACCATACCACTGGTCACGTTGCAGTAACCATCGCAACCGTGAGTACTACTTGATCGTTTAACAATGAAGAGCTGGAGAGTTAGTCGGCTCCTGCAGCTTACATAAAGTCATCGATATCAATGTCGTCATCGCCGTAGTCGTCGTCGTCGGAAGGAACGGGGGACTTGTCCTCCATGCCCTCTGCAATACAACATCAATCTCTCTTCCAAGTCATCTCTCTCCTAACTCACCGAATACGTCGTGCTCCAAGAAGTCACAGCGATAGCGCAAGAATCCTCCAATACCTCCAAACCCCTTGGAGAACTGAGATCCTTCTTGGGACTTGTTCGACACAATCTCCAGCTTGCAACCGAACTTGTTATAATTCGTAGACAGCCATTCCACCAACTGGCGAAAAAAAACGATCAGAAAGTAATCAAACCGGCAAGCCCCCAATTGCTCCTTCGCGTTTTTCTCGCATCACTCGGCTACCTCTAATCCATCCTCCCTCGATGCTCCTCCAAATCACCTCTGTCTTGTCCAATATTTCCTTATCGCAACTATTTGCCTCATCCTTGAAGTACTTGTGGTCCTTGGCCTTGATCGGAGTCAAGACAAGGGTCTCCTCTTCTCCGCTCACAGGACTTCTCAGAACGAATCGGATGTGTTCCAAAGATTCCCAAACAATCAAAGTTTCGATCGCGCCGGCCTCGAGACACTTCAGTGTGTCGTCGACTCCAAAGCAAATCTTCCCGGTGTCCTGAGCGATTTCATCGAAATACTTCTTGATGACCTTCTTCTCTTGGAGGAACTTGACGTTGGACAACACCTCCGCAGACAACTCGATTGCCTGGTTGAATCCATTCTCTCCACCGTACGAGACGTCAACAACCATCAAAACCTTCGCTGCAAGACGTTGATCGAACCTCTCCGCCTCTACAAGCACAGTCTTGAACTCTGCTGAACCAGCAACCACCAACCCAGACACATTACACTTGTCGTTGGTGATGAAAAGCTGAGTGGCCATCTCCGCAACCTTAGTGACGTAGTTGTGACGTTTCTCAAGACGGAGACGAGCAAAACGAAGGGCAGACTGACCACCACGCCCGTGCTTCTTGGGAAGCTCAACGGACATCTTGTGCAGAACTTCGCGCGTGTTTCCGCTCAGAGTGCCGAACAATGTTCCATTACCATCCATCACAATGAAGCCGAACTTGTCGTCACACTCGAGCAGCTCTTGAAGCGCCTGGGCCGGCATCACAACACGTGTCATCATCGAAACAGCCTTTCACCTCGACGTGGAACTTGTTGTCGCAGAGATAAAGAGAAGTGTTGATCGGCTTGAAAGGCTCGAAGTCGATGGTGACCTGCTTCTCTTTACCATCCTCCGTGAGCACAGTGCCGCAGTACAGCACGAGCCCGTTGTTCGGAACTCGGTTGTACAATTTCAGGCGCTGTTGGGTGGAGGTGATTGCAGAGAGAACGGACAATCTGTTGACTCGGGACTTGATGTTGGATGCTGTGCCGTACTCATCGCCAAGCATTTTGCTGACACGAGCAATCTGATCCTTGGGAGGAACGATCAAGGAGATCATAGAAGTTCCGTTTCTGCCCGAAGACTGTCAGGTTCCCAGTCGATTGCAACAAAGAACAGCAGAACGACAAAGAGATATCAAATCAGGAGCGAGCTCCATACCCGCGGGCAGCATCGAGATTCTTAATCAGCTTCTTGATCTTCCCTGTGACAAAGGATGAGAACCGAACAGAAGGCTCAAGTTAACACTTCACATTGCTCAATGGCGGCATCGCGCGCAGCTTGATCATCAGCATCAGACATCCTGCAGCGCATCATGTCAGATATTGTTCAATTAATTGAACAGGAGTCCAATGTTCCTTTCTGCGTTACTAGTCTTCGTAAATGATCGACTTAGTCCTTGGTCGTGAGAACTAACCCCTTGATCGTAGAAACTAAACAAGCTAAATACATCAGCCAAGCTCTGCCTTCACTCATGCTGGTTTGCATCAACGTGCATGAATCCGAAGCTTTGCCGAAAATTCTGCATGGCACACATCGAATTTTTGGAAATTAGACCATTACATCAAGCTACGTGTATTGCAGTGAGCGAATGGACCAACCGAACGAGCAGGATAATCGGGATGGACTGCATCAGAACTAAGGATCTCTCTACCCTCTTCCTGTAACCCACAGATCCCTTCTGCAGAACCTTGCTACTCTTTCCAGTCAGAATCAAGTCTGGACTGTTTCAAGATGGCATGCTCCTAGTGCAACCCTGAGAATCGATGCCGTAACTTCAGCGTAGACATCCATGCTGTCAGGATCCTCATCGTCTCTATGCCTCACGGAACCTTCAGGCGCTCGATCTCGAATGCTGCAGTTTCGTTCGCAATTCAAGCAAGCCCCATCTAAGAACCTTCGATCGGAAACGGAATAACATAGCTCTACAGGATCTTGATATTAATCGCCATAGATTCAATGGGATGTTTTTCCTGTCAAATGGCGTCGTACTCGAGATACACTCCTGATGGAACTCATTTCACGTAATTACGTGCGCCTACCTAGAAGGCAATACCCCCAACCAGTGTCAGGATCTTTTCCACGTCTCATGCACCATCCCTTCTTGACAAGACTATCATCGCATAGAACAACATCTCTCGGCATCTTTCTCTTGTTTTTGCTGCCATGCCTCTGGTCCTCCTCCTGTCTCGTCACCATTCCCATCGCACACGCGGCAGCCCCTGCAGGCTCCATAACCCACCCTACCCCCTGACAATAAAAAACTGCATACCCTATCCAAAGTACCCCGAATCGCCAGAAAAACTTCAATCCCCTCTCATTTAGAATCTTACGCTGTCTACCCCTTCGCTTCTCGTTCAAGAACCAGGTTCTCGTCATACCCCGCTGCCTCGAAGCCTACCATGTAAAACACTACCCCTATGTTCAAGCAACCACCCCGCATTGCAAAATTCTCGGTGGGTAGTACAAGTACCCCTACCCCTCAATCCTACCCCCTACCCTCCTATATGCGCGTGTTTTTTTTGATGGAGTAGAAACGAGGGTGATGAGATGATGCCCTCAGTCATAATGTAAACCGATATGGGTTTCTGAATTAACTGAAATATTTGGTTCAAAACTATATACATTATAAAAATAAATCCACATAATGTATTGCAAAAAAAAATTAAAAGGAGCTATATATATATAGTGTATGTGCCGCATGCGAACAGTGTACTAATTTTAAAAACTTGTCCTTTTAAAACAAATTGCTATATCGGGAGGGTGACCTATGACCAATGGTGACCCAAAAATTAGAATCTCAAAAAAAACGTCGAAATCGCGGTGTGGTGCAAACCCCGAACGGTAAAACAACAAAGGAGCAACGAGAATATAGAATGTTGTGATTAAAAATAAAAGAACATCCCTGCAAATCCACCTGTACAAATCAATTCTTCCGAAGTCTAAACACCCGTCTGTTTATCTATCAAAGTAGAAGTAGGGGTGGGTACCAGGTTTGTGGCCTTCCCGCCTTCCCGCCTTCATCCGAAGTCTAACTACCCGTTTGTTATCTGTCGAACTTGAGTAGGGGTGGGTACC